GTATTGATTGATGTGTCTCAAATAACTTAACATCAAACTCAAGTAAGTGAACAATCATGTGTATTTACCTTTCCCTTCTACTACTTCTTTTTCTATCCTCCATCTCATGGCAACCTGGATGTAGAAAAATATTGTTATAACTAAAAATTAAATATTATCTTGTCTTTTTAAATATTATCTTTTTCAAAATTTAACAATTTTCAACTAATAAAATACTTGCTAAAGATGATAAAGTTTCAATAAACAATGCAGATATGTATAAAAATCAAAATTGCAGAACATACCTTATTTTCTTTGTATCGACTTAGATCTGATATGCAATATTCTTTAAACAATTTGTCATAATATTTTTTGGACATCCTCTTTTCCCTAAAAAATTAAATCGTACTATTGTTATTATTAGTATTTTGTTGTAGGTTTTTTTGTTTGTTTTTTTTTTTTGCTATGACATATTGTCAGTGTGTTTTAATCAAAACATACATTAACAAGAATGAATCATAATAGTCTCTGATATTATATTCAAAACCAAACAACAGACCCAAAATAGTCTGACTGAGGCCATCAAATACCCAGATTGTTTTATGGCTGATTAAATCTCTTTTAATGTTGAATGAAGGTCCTTCAATTAATGATCTGGTAACTTCAGTAAAGATAATTTGAGTTGATCTGGTAAATTCAACATCTGTCTGATTGTGAACACAGCCTCATATTTAATCACAGTTTACAATTTTAAAATTAGTACATTCCTCGAGCATCTTACCATGAATCATCAGGGTTATCTTCTTCTGTCCATAAAAATCTATGATTTTCACGAATAACATCTAAATCTGTCTTGCCTACTGATCTGTAAAACATTAGATCCAAGCTTAATGATTTACTATTTAAGAGCAGAGTACCATACGCATAATAATGACATTATATGTAGACTGTTTCTTAAGACAAAAATTAACACTTTGTAAATTCAGTATGACACAATTTTAAGTGCATAAAATGTTGACTGCTGTTGAATATATGTACTCAGAAGTGACATTCTACAACATATATATTTTTATTTCAGCATTCTTACTTGTTCTGTTTGAATTCAGACCACTTTCCACCATAGTAAATCATGTAATCGTTGATGAATTTCTTGTGCCTTGAATACTATGGGTTTAGCAATGAAGGAAAAAAATGCACATTGCAAATACACCTGTCCAGCATCTAATAAAAAAAACACTAGTCATTTTTTCTCTAACCTTTGCTATATATTGTTCTTTTACAAAGAATTTTGGAATTATAATAAATGACAAACCTACTCATGTTAGTGAAATTTTCAATGAAAAAGATGTACATGTATCACAACAAATTGTGCTTTACAAGAAACTGCATACAAGTACATAACAACATGAATTCATAACAAAGCAGATGCAAATAAGTCTATTTTCACCAAAAAAATATTCTCCTTCAAAACTTTTCAACACTACATGATTCGTGAAAAAGAAGAGTACATAAACTGGTTCTTAAACCAGAAATCCAGCAATGGAAAGTTATATTTTTGCAAAGTGAATGCTAAGAGGTAAAGGATACTGCATCCATACTGAGAATATGGAATCTTTGCCTTCTGCCTTCATCTCTGTAAAAGAAACATGGAAAGTTGAGAATTAATTATTAATAACTCATCAAAGGCTTCAATTATGATATTTTGAATAAAAATAAAGATATGTTCAAATAATGGATCCAAGTTTATATACACTTGGTTGACAACTTTGACTGGAGATGAGGGTACATGTTCTTATATAGTTATTTTGAATTTTACAACTGAAACTGTGTACTAAATACACTTGGCCAAAAAAGTGTGGAAACATTGTCATTTTGAAAAATTATAAAATAACCATATGAGCTAAGGTAGATATTTTTACTAAATATTGATGGATAATGCTCATCATTCGTCATTCCACTTGCATGACTTGTGAAAATGAAATTTGACCCCACATTCATATCGCTGTAATTCCTACAGAATTCCTTTGACCAAGTGTATGTGTATAAAAACTGATTTACTTACTTGCTATACTCAGCTTCACATTCACTTCTGGGTGCAACTTTGTGAGATTTTTCTTTATGCTTAACAGCCAAGTCTTTTCTTTTATTTCTGCAAGTATATAAAAAATACTTGTAAACATTTAACATTTCATCAGATAATTGTTTTTCCAATACGAAAAAATCATTTAAAGCATGCTTTAAAGCATTTAAAGCAAATATAAGTTATACATCACAATACATATTCAGAGTTAACATACAGTGAAATTGATTAAATACAACCTGTAAAAAGGTCCAGCAGGTGCTATGATATCTTACCGGTATATATGACTTGCAAAAATCTTGTTTAACAAAATTTAATAATTATATTAATATAATCCCTTTACACATTTCTCTTATGATTAAACTGCTGCTACTGAAAATGACTGGTGAATAAATAAACTATTTTTCAAAAAGAAAAGCATAGAGTATGTGTCAAAAAAGAAAAAAATGGTGTAGAAGCAAACAGTGGGCTGGTCTTGCTACTGGAATTGGTCAACTGCAGTCCCTAGGTGTTACAGCTACAGATGGTACAGGGAGAGGGTGTACTTATCTGCTACATGTAATTGACAATACAAACTGTCTCTCTGCTAGAATTGGCTGCCTGCTGGCTAGCACTTTCAGTGTTGCTGGGGTTGGGGGTGTTTTTGTTGGTGATAGTATGGACATAGGGGGATGCTTTTGTGTAACTAGTAGCTGGTAACTAAGTCTATAGGGTATTTATTAACATACAGTTGCCGAAAATGAGGTTTTTCCTGCATCTAATTATTCAATAATGAATCGATTTTTGTGCTGATTTAAAAGAATAAAAAATCCCCTCAAAATATAAAGTATGGGTGTTTATATTTCTTGTTCCAATGTATAAGGATAGGTAACTCGAAGCTTGAATCATCCACTTGAGATAGCAATCGGTATGGGGCATACTAGTAACTTCATCCTTGAGCAAGATCTGATGTTATCACATAAGTTGGCATAGTTGACCACAAGTGTATGGTCTACAATCAAATGCCGTCATTTTCATTTAAATGTTTATGTTATGGAGTTATGAGCCCCTAATTACAGATTTTAACTAAACAAAGGCATTATGTTGCTTTGTCAATGATAAAATCTGTACTAAGGCTTAATTAATTTAGTCACTCAACACTTAATATTTATCTGTTATCCAAAACAATACATGTAAGGCAGTAAATAAGGAGTTTTTGGCAAAGGCTAACAGTATCCTTGCATTTGCTATATTACTTGATGTAAATCATTAAGAACTGATGATATCTTTCAACTCTGCTCCTTGTATGTTTGTTGTTGTATTCTAGCATTTACATTGCAGAGGTGGATGTTGTTGGGGAGTCTGGTCTTGCTGGTCAAAGTGGCATACTTAAACATCAATGAAACATTCACTGATGTCACTCACCTTTGTTTCTCTGCCTCACTATCATATTCAAATTCTGAACAATAGTCCCCACCATGATGAACCTATAGTAACAGGAAAAACAGTTGATCTGCATGATGAAAATTTGGCACTTTTGCAGCACCCCCCCCCCATATGACTCTGTGATATTAAATATCTTTCATAAATTAATTTTTGTGGTGACTTTAAGCAGTATCTCCACTACTAAAATAAGTTATTTTGGGAATTAATTGACTAATTTTAAGATGTGTTTAAATGAAACTTTATGCCTTCCAAATACTATGAGAGCTGAGGTTATTGCTTGGGTGAAAATTTGCTGTAAACTTATTGGTCAAAGAACTTGAAGGTGTCTCAAAAAAGTTTTTAAAATAAGTTAGTAATTTTTTTTTAAATTAGAATATCCAAGACACTGATTAAAATTACCACATAATCTTGTTCAAATTCTATAAAAGCGAGAATTTTAAAAAGATCCCCTGTATATTCCAAACGTTTGAAGATAAGTTCTCTGGCATAACAGATGGCTTTTGTACATATAAACAGTATACATAACTTTTACTTTCTTTTATCAATTCGCAATCGATTTATATAGAAAACAAACAGAACTTCACAAAAGTCCAAATTTACTGAGAGTCTATATAAGCTGTCTTTATTACGTGTATTTGTGCAACGACCTTCCCACTGTAAATAAATTCTTGCATAGGAACCTATGTGCACTGCACAAAGATTTCAAAGTCGGACCCGACAGCTGACCTCTAAGCGAAAATATCCTCTTAAAAAAACGAAATCACCTCAACTAAATCCGAGCTATTGCCGCTTGCCATGATTGACCTATTTTCAGATTGAGGTTATCTTGACCGAGAAAAACAAAGATGGCAGCGCCCACGATATGCACACCTGGTTTGTTGTGTTTTAATTTTAAGCCGTGTAAAAGTGAACTCAACAGTTTTATTGTTAATTGTAGTTTTCTTATTAACAATGAAGCCTTTATTAAATCTGTAGTATGTTGATCTGCCCCTTTGTCATCTCTTTAGGAAGCAAAATAGATTTAGCTAAAACTACTGAGGCTGATACATATTAGTCAATATAACAATTCGAGACAATATGATCAACAGTGTTACTGTAGATTGAGGACCGTTGATTAAGGTTATGATTAAAGGAATAGAGATTCATTTTGTTTCTTGATAAATGATTTGGCAGTATGATCACTGTGACTTACTTGTGAAACTGCTAACCCACCAACCTCTACTGTACAAAATCCATATATATATATTATGTACTGTCATATATTAAATTTTGTGATTGTTATTTTGAATAAAGGTCAAAGAATATGTCGCTTAGAGGAAGGCCAAGTTGCTGGTTCTGGTACAGATGTAAGACAAGGGTACCTTTACTCCTGTCTTGCTGGATATGTCAATGTCAGGGAGGGGGATGGAGAGAGTGGCAAGGTTAGTACGTACTGAATATTTTATTTATATATATAAATTTAGCTTGAAGTATAGTACTTAAGATGTTTACATAATCAATATGTAATCCTGTATTTTGTTTTCAGACAGTGATAGAGGTTTTGACAGAGAAGAAACACAACATTGTTCCTTCAGTGGGATCTCTCGTTACTTGTAGGGTAAGCATTCCATATACTTTTTTGTATGTTAATAAATATTTGAATCTTAGCAGTTCACCATACTATTCTCAGCAATAGTCTTTTGTGTCCAATCACAATTATAAAAAAAATGTATACTCATCCTTTTGTTTCATAAATGATAATAAGTGGATTATTTATGAGAATTCATGCTTGTCTGACTTTTATTTTACTCTTCATTTGCAGGTCACCAATGTAAATCCAAGATTTTGTAAATGTGCCATATTAGGAGTAGACAATATGCCATTAAAAGAATCATTCCGAGGGCTTGTCAGAAAAGAAGATGTCAGAGCTACAGAAAAGGACAGGGTAAATAATACAGTACCACAGCAAAGAAATTTTATGAATTCATATATTTCTACTGCTTTTATGAAAAAAAAAATGCTAGTATCACAAGGGCCACCAAATACAGAACTACTCAAAGCATAGATACATTGACTTAAAGAAGCGTACCAGTAAAGCACTGTGCTTATTTAATCACATAAAAATACATTGTTCATTATGTATGTATGTATAATCTACTTCTTGGTTTCTCTTTCTGTTTTATTTTTCAGGTTGAAATGTACAAAAGTTTCAGACCTGGTGATTTGGTTATAGCACGAGTTGTATCCTTGAGTTTAAACACCATAATGACATTAAGTCTCTTTCAAAAGACTTTTTCCACATAATGTTTTGCTTTGAAGATGAGGCATTTTCACATTTCACAAATAACATGATAGTAAATAAATAAGTTTATAACCACATGAAAGTGGAGACCAAAATAACTATATTCAGGCACAATCAAAACAAACTCTATAAAAAAATGGGTTTAATGTGGCATACTTGTGTTGAGAATTATCTTTTGCACACAAAAAACATAAATTAGGACTTAATTTTCTGTTTTTGTCACAACACAGGACATGTCAAATATTTATCAGGATGACTGCTGTACATTTAGATTTATTGTCAGTTTTACATGTTCTCAGTCAGTGAAATAAAAAAAAACAACTAAATTTTGCTCATAAATTTTTATGATTAGAATTTCATTCCATTGAAATCACATTACACATACATTAGTAAGAAATCATATTCATTTAAAGTAGAACCCCTTATTTCTAAGTTTAGCTGCTTTGTATAAAGACTTTCTCAATGGTTTCCTTGACGGGCATGTCCAGTTGTCATTAGGAGATGCACAGTCCTACCTACTGACCACAGCAGAAAATGAACTAGGAGTTGTGGCAGCTGTCAGTGAAGCAGGTTAATCTATGCATTTTCTATAGAGTGGAGATAGTAACTTCCTGTGAATGGTATTGGAGTAAACATTTGTCTTCTCAAAAATTAAAATCCGAACTCTTATAGTTACTATGGTTCTTTAGATAGTTATTTACTTCACACTTCAAATGTAGATATTCCTATGTAAAAATATGAGACTATACATTAAACAACATAGGAATGTGAAGTTTGAGGGGTGGTGGAAAATGAAAGTGAATGGATGATTAAGGCAGTTATGGTACAAATATTACAAACAAAGACTTTCTGCATTTCATTCAGATTTTTTCTGGACTACATGCTTTCTCTTGATAAAAAATGGCAATTAATTTCTTTGTTGCAGGAGTGAATATGGTCCCAGTCAGTTGGAATGAAATGAT